TCTAAAAGCCAGCTGAGTGCTGGAACACCTATTTCTTGCTTCCTGTCTGCCAAGCAGTGAGGAGCAGCCCCCACAAGCTCCTACCGCCCTGCACAAAGGGTCAAGTAACCATGGACTGAACCCTCTACCCTCTAAAACTGAGCTAAGACAAATCTTTCCTCCCTTAAAAGTCAAATGAATCAGGAAAAATAGAAAAGCATCTCTAAAATCCCTTCTGTAAAGGCATTAATACTACTCATGAGGACTTCTAGCTTGGTCTAGGCACTTCTCAAAGGCCCTATCATAAAATCCCACCCTGGGGATTAGGCTTCAACCTATGAATTTGGGGAAGAAAGACACATTCAGCCAACAGCAACGACTAAGGAAAAATGAGGTTATAAAAACCTGGGTGATGGAGGTAGAAGGGATCAGGAGTTCAATGTCACCTTTAACTACACGGTGAGTTTGTAGTAAACCTGGATTATGTGAAACCATCTTTAAAAAATGAAAAAAGACTGGGCAGTGGTGCCACACACCTTTGATCCAGTACTCAGGAGACAGAGACAGGCAGATCTCTGTGAGTTCAAGGCATACAGAGTGAGTTCCAGGACAGACTCCAAAACTACACAGAGAAACCCTGTCTCAAAAACAAAACAAAACAAAAAAGTTATTTTTAAAATTCTATTTATTTATTTAGAGTTAAGAGTCTCAAGCACTGTTGGCCAGTTCAAACTCACTACATAGCCAAGAATGATCTGAACTTCTGGTTTTCCTTTCTCCACATCCCGAATGACATGTACCAGCACGTCAAGCTTACAGGATGCTAAAGGGCACATCCAGGGCTTTATGCATGCTAGGCAAGCACTCCACAAATCAAGCTATATTCCCAGCCCTTAGAAAGTATGATTTAATCATTTGTAGCTTAACTAGTATTAGTTAGCACTCTGTCACTAAAACTACCTGAGGGGTCTATCTAAAGGAAGGGTTATTCTGGCTTGCAGCTTTGGAGAAGCCAGACTAATGAACTGGCTTGCAGTTTTGGGGCTGTAGCAAGGCACAATACATTAGCTGGAGTGTGAGTACTCATGTCATAATAAGAGAGGTGGGGGGGGTGAGAGAAAGGGTGGTAGGGTATGTGGTAGTCGAATGAAAAAACGTCCCCATAGGTTAGCTCATGGACTTGAACACTTGGTCCCCAGCTGATGGCCTGTTTGGGGAGATTATCAGGAGGTAGAGCCTTTTGGAGGAAGACCATCACTTAGGTGGACTTTGAAAGGATTTATAGCCTCATCCTGCTTCCTGTTCTCTCTTTGCTTCCTTCCTGCATACAAAAATTTGCAGCCCGCTTCCTGCTCCTACTCCTAAGCCATACCTTCCCTGCCATAAAGAACTCTTCACTCTCTGGGAGTGTAAGCCAACATAAACTCTTCCTTAAGTGGTTAATGGAATTTCAACATTGCAATAGAAAAATAACTAAAATAGGTGTCAGTAATTCCTTCAAGGGCATAACCTCAGTTCCTTAATTTTATCTGGATTCCAGACTCCACTACCTCCAAACAGTGTCACACGCCCAGCAAACTCTCTTGGTTCTACCAGCACTCCCAGGCTTAGGGCGCTTTCCTTCAAACAACCACTCCTGAGCTCTGCAGACAATGACGCTGAGTGAAGACAAGCCCCTGCACCAGCCTCTTAACTCACTGGAGTGTTCAGCCTGGAAAAGGAGCCTCTTACCTCCATCCTCTCCATTCCCTTCCCTTCTGCTAGGACTATAACTACTTTTCTTATCAACTGGATTACTCTCCTGTTTCTTTCATTTTCTAAATTATTGTTATGGCTTGTTTGGGGGTTGCTTTTTGTTTAGTTTGGTTTTTGTATCTTTAAAAAAAAACAAAAAGCAAAAAAAAAAAAAACAAAACAGGGTCTCGATATATAGCCCTGGCTGCCTTAGAACTCACTATGAAGACCAGGCTGACCTCAAACTCATAAAGATTCACCTGTCTCTGCCTCCTGACTGCTAAGATTGACTACAGACTTTTTATTTTTTGGTTTTGTTTGTTTCAATGAATGTCCTCTTCCTTACAAGAATACAAAAGGAAATGAGGTTAAGATTTCTTATTAGAGAATGGAAAAGGATCAGAGAATCACAGATGGAAAAAACAGACACACACACACACACACACACACACACACGAGAGCACGTACAATACACGCACATGCACCTGTACATAAATTAACATGTATACAAATTAACATAGACAAATGAATGTTAGATTCTCTACTGTGAGTTCATATTAATATATTCACAAAATAATAAAATTTTATCATCATGATCAAAATCAAAGTCCTTATGATGCAGTCAAAAGACACAGAGGCTACGTACAGTTCTGCAGTAAAGCATTTGCCTAGCGTGTGTGAGGCTCTGGGTTCAATCCCAGAACCAGAAAAGGGGTGGAGGTGGGGGTACAACCACAGGTTTGGAAAACATTTTAAACCCTGGAAATATCCAGTATTCATAAAAAACACATCTGGCCCTGCTAATGGAAGTGGAAACCGAAAAGCCACTTTGGAAACAATCGAGCACTAACCGCTGGGGCTGAACATACTACTAACCTGTAATCTGCAATGCCGCTGCTAAATTTAGACTAGAATCTTGGACACTCCGTACTAAGAGATATTTAAGAGGAAGAACATGGTAATTCTTTAAAAGAACAAAATTTTCATTATCCAACTATTCATAAACAGAAGAGATAAACCAATAGTAGACTACCCAGAAAGAAAAGGAGTATATGAAAATAAATGAGTTAAGATGCTTTTGAGATAATTCCTAAACAAAACCATACAGAAGATATTTCATTTATGAAACTTCAAAATCAGGTCAAAAGAATATATACTATTTTAGGGATACACAGAGTCACAAAGGTACGGCAGCTCATACCTGCAACCCCATCACTTGGGAGGACCAAGGAGGAGGACTGCCAAAACTTCAGGGCTACCCTGAACTACAGTGAGACCCTACTGAAATAAAGCAAAAGTGCCAAGATCAGGAGCTCCAGGCCAACCCTGAATTTCATGAAACCTTGTCAAAACAGAAACACATATGAGAATATTCTAAATCTGAGCTGGAGAAATGGCTCAGTGATTAAGGTGGCCTTGCAGAAGACCCAGGTTCTGTTCCCAGCATCCACAAGGTGGCTCACAACCATCCCTACCTCCACTTCCAGAGGAGCCAATGCTCTCTTCTGGCCTCCACAGGCTCGTGCATGGTGCGTACATGTATATGTGTGTATATGTGTGTGTGTGTGTGAATTTAGGCAAAACACACACAAAAAGTAAAATAAATCTTAAGAGTCCACACTGTTTATACAAAGACTCACATTCAATTCCCAGTACCCATAACGGGCAGCTCCAGAAAGTCGTCACACCCACACAGACACACACACAATACAAGAGAAGCTGATGTCAAAACCATGTACTAGCCAAGTGTGGTGGCTCATGCTTTTAATTTTTTTTTGGGTTTTTCGAGACAGGGTTTCTCTTTAGCTTTAGTGCCTGTCCTGGAACTAGCTCTTGTAGACCACGCTGGCCTTCAACTCACAGAAATCCTCCTGCCTCTGCCTCCCGAGTGCTGGGATTAAAGGTGTGCGCCACCACCGCCCGGCATATCATGCTTTTAATCTCAAGAGACGGATCTCTATGTATTCCAGACCAGCTGTGGCTACACAGTGAGACCATTATATGTCATTTCTGAAAAAGGAAAAACAATGGAAAAGATGAAAAACGAAAAAAAAAGATCAATGAGTGGAGGGTTGGTGAGGAGAGTTAAGAACAGACCAGCACCCGGGATTCCTAGGACAGTGAAAAGTTTGTAGGACAGTATATGATGGATCATGTCATCTTACATATCCCAAACACACAGAATGTGGGTCACCAAGAGTGAACTTTAAACTATGAACTTTGGGTGCCAATCTGGGCTCATCAAGTATAACAGAAACAAGTGCTGATAAGGAGAAGTCTGAATGTGAGAAGACAGTATATGGTACAATATTTCCGTTTTCCTTTCAACTGGATGGTGAGCTGAAACCTGTTCTAAAAATTTAACGTTTTTAAACTCGTAAGTACACAGAAATAGTTTAAGAGGTCAAAACCTCCAACTGCTGAGAAATTCCTGGTTAGCTCATCTAAGAACTTGGTCCTTTCTAGAAATGTATCAATCATAAAAAAGCACTCATTACTTTAGCACGGACACTTGTTGGGGGGTGTCAAGAAAAATGAAGGAAGGAAGGGAGGGAGGACAGGAGGGAGGGAGGGAGGGAGGGAGGGAGGGAGGGAGGGAGGAGAGACAGCAACAGGAACACCAGCAGCAGTATAGTGGACAGACCATACAGAGGATCGAGTCTCTGGGCAGGGAGTTCTAATACCGGGCGCCACCACAATAAGCTTCCCAAAAGCTTTTTGATCATAGTCTACAAATCTGCGAAGACCCTCTGGAATGGACGCATTCACAGACAACGCTACACTCCCCATCTTTGCTCAGTTAAAAAGCGCAGATTACCAAAGGGGACTTCCAAAGCTATGACAGTCGGGGTGGAGATGAGGAGACCAAATTCGTCTCCAGGGAAAAGGCACTTATCCCAAATCACTAAATGACGACCAGGCAAAGAGTTCAACAAATGTTTCCCGACAGGGCAACAGGCCAGCCCCCCTTACTGCGCACACTCCCCGCTCAACCTGGGTGGAGCCGCCTCCCAGCGACCCCCTCGGCCAGCCGGAAACGGCAGCTAGCCTCTTCGTGGTCAGATCCCGGGGGACGCGCCCACTAACAACCCGCGGGCCATGCCACCACGGGCACGCGTGACCGCGCCCACGCGGCCCTCCCGTGCGCCGCGTCTTTGGGTCCATTTCCACTCAGCTCTGGGTCATCCTCCGGCCTCGGGGGCCGCGCCCACCAGTCCCAGCCAGGGACAGCCCGGCCCGCTAGGCCCCGGCCCCAGGCCGGAAGCCTTTGCCTCCCCTCTCCTCACCGTGTCGACCCCTGAGCTGTCTTCCCGGGTGCCCTCAGTCTCCTCGCGGACCGCGGCTTCCAGCACAGCGCCAGGGCCCCCCAGCGGCTCCAGGGGTGCAGGCTGCAATGGCCTCTCGGGGTCCGGAGGTGTCTGCTCCATAGCTGCAGTTCGGCACCGCGAATACAGTGCGCCTGCGCGTGCCTGGCCCGCGGCCGCCCCGCCCCCTGCCTCCTGTAGTCCCGCCCCCTACCCACAGAAGCTCCTCCCCGGCAGCTGAGAAGGCAGAAGGCTGAACAGAGGGAAGTAAGGGAAAACTAAGGGGAATCCGCAGAGACGCTGGTCAGCTACGAAACTGGAAATCTGGAAGAACGGGTGGAGACAGAAAAAAAGAAGTGAAGATTAAGTGAACTCAAAAAAAAAAAAATGCAGAACTGTGGTGGCGTACACCTTTAATCCCAGCACTCAGGAGACAGAGGCAGGTTTGACACTAGCCTGGTCTAGTGACCAGTGAGTTCCCGGACAGCCAGGACTACACAGAGAAACCCTGCCTCTCGGGGGGGGGAAAAAAAGGGGGGGGGGAGAGGAAAAATTATTATTAAGATTGGGGGACCCTTCAAGTAAATTCAAAAGAAAAGAAAGATCTTCTGACCATCACCCTTGCCTGGCATCCACAGTTCTGTTTCCCCATGCACAGACTAGAGCAGCGTCAATGATTAACTTTCAGAGGTTGAGTAACACACTCAGCAAAAGATAACGCTTGAGGGTTTGAGGGCCGCGAAGACAGGCAGCGGCAGGGTGGGTGTTTAAACCTCAGACGCCGAAGCTCTGGAGACCTGATCATTTTCTACGCAAGTCTCCTGTAATTTTCTGAATCTGCCCCTCTGTAAGAGTCACTGTGGCTGCCTGAAAATGCTCACTGGCTATAGCCAAAATAGAGGACCTTGAGGTCCGTGTTTCTGCACAAAATCTGCTCTCAGTTTTCCAAGGACCCAAACGGATCTTTCTGAAAACAGCCTTTTCATGTTATGAAACGTGGCTTCTTCCTCCTGGAATGCAATTTCTTCTCCCCCCCCCCCTTCCCCGCAAAGTTCTATTCATACTCTAAGCCTTTTCCATGCTATTTTACAATAATTTGTGTTCCCGTCCATCTCCGTCACTAGACTTTGGACTCCTTTAAAGCAGGGACCCACCCTGTCTCAAAAAACTAAAATAATAATAATAATAATAATAAGCAAAGCAGGGACCCACCCCCTCCGTATCCTCTCCCCTCCTCCTCTCTCACAAAGCCCAGAATACTTAGGTTTGGGGGAATTTTCTTGCTTACCAGGAATTAGTTACGCCAGGCAAACTCCCAGAAAGCATACTTTCAAATCAGCAGAGGCTCACTAATCGCAGGAGGGATAGATTTGTTCTCCGTAGAAAACTGGATCCTAAAGCCAGCAGGATGCTTGCTGTACACGGGTCTCTCTGTGCAGTGAGTGGGAACGCAGGAAAGTCACCTGGCTTGGTGAGGCGGTCTCTGAAGGTGGTCATGGTACTGTCCACTGTTTTTGCTTCTTTTAAATATGTGTGTGTGTGTGTGTGTGTGTGTGTGAGAGAGAGAGAGAGAGAGAGAGAGAGAGAGAGAGAGAGAGAGAACCAGCCTGATAGTAGTGGCACACTCCTTTAGTCCCAGCACTCTGAAGACAGAGGCAGGCAATTCTCTGAGTCTAAGGCCAACCTGGTGTAGACAGTGAGTTTCTGGAAAGCCAGAGCTATACAGAGAAACCCTGTTTGGGGAAAAAAATAGGTAAGAAATAAATAAATAAAACTGAAACTGGGCAGATTCATTGGCTACCTTGAATCCCTCATTCTTCCATACCCTTTGTGTGTGAAAAAAATTACAGGGTTGGGGATGTAGCATTTGACATTAGTAGCAATTTCCTTGTGTTGTCTGCCTCATGTTCCCATCAAAAACATTTCCAAAGTGTCTTAGCGCTTTGCTTTGTTCTGTAACACAAAAGCTTCCTGACTAGGGACGGCACAGTGGTGCGGTTCCCACCTACCATCCACAAAGCCCTGTAGATACCTAACATGTACAAGACTCTGGTTTCAATCACCAGAATGAGAACAAGGAAGTGGGGAGTGGGCCATGGGGGGGGGTATCAGTCAAAAGGGTTTTGGTTTGGTTTGGTTGAGCTTTTATTCAGTGGGGTTTGTTTTGAAACAGGGTCTCACTATGTAGTTCTGGTTGGCTTCCAGCTCACAGAGACATGCCTGGCCAAAAGGGTTCTTGAAGAATCTATTAGAGCAAAAGGAGCTTCCTATGGCGGCACGTGCTAATAATCTCAGGAATTGCGAACCAGAGACAAAGGAATGGCAGGTTGGAAGCCATCGTGGATGACGTGGAGCGTTCTAGGTCAGTTTGGGCTACAAAGTGAAACCCTGAATCCAAATAAGTAAAGATCTAAGTTTAGAAAATTTGGCTTTGGACTGGAGAAGTGTCTCCGTGGCTGAGAGCACTTGCTGCTTTCGCGGAGGACCTGTGACAGGCTCCCAGGCTTTAGTAGTCCCCCAGTTCTTACCGCAACTGATGTCACGATGAAAGTACCATTCAGGCCATAAAACTCAGCCTTGTAGACAGCACCACCTGCCAAGGCCTAATCTATCAAAGTCCATAGTTCTGGGGAAATCTCTCTATGTACTAACCTTGCTTTTCGTCGTCTTTGTGCTGCTTCTGGCTAACCATTCTTACTTCTTGAGGTGTGTCAACCCAAGATATGATTTTGTGCCTGAAAACTCACCCTGAGAAAGGCTCAGGGCTACACTGGGATCCCAATAGTCACTATATAGCTAAGAAATACATTCTGTTGGCTTAAACCTTTGCCCAGGTAGTTTTCTCTAGTAGATGCCCCCACAAAAGGCCTAGGTTTGATTCCCAGCACCCATAACAGACTGCTGTAGCATGCTTCTGTAAGTCCAGTTCAAGAGGATTTGGTGCCCCCAAAGTTACTATAATTTAGATGGGTGTGAAGGGCCCCAGCCTTTTCCTCTGGTCCTGGTAGCTGTTTGCTGCAGAAGCAATGAATCTAGTGTGTGTGGAGGGGAGGGGTCAGAGGAAACAAGAACACAAACAATAACAAGTCCCAGCTTTCCTTTACTAAAGTTAAGAGCGCCAGCTTCCAAGCATCCTGGCCTCCAGGCCATGTTAGCATTCATGGTGCCGCCCAGGCATGTATGTAGAAGTCAGAAGACATTACAGGAGCCTGTGCTCACCTTCCACCCTGAGGGTCACAGGGATCAAACTCAGGTTATCAGGCTTAGCGCCAAGTGCCCTCACTCCCTGAGCCACCTTACCTACCCTAAGTGGATGATCTTCAAGTCCACCGAATGCAAGTACAAGGGAAGCCAGAGGGTTTGTTGATATCCCTCCCCGCCCCCATAGTCAGAGATGGCTCTTTCGTTTCCCAGCCCGGCCACCCTGACCCGAATAATCACACAGAAGCTATATATATTTTTTAAAGATTTAGTTATTATGTATGCAGTGTTCTGCCTGCATGTATCCCTACAGGCCAGAAGAGGGCACCAGATCTCATTATGGATGGTTGTGAGCCACCATGTGGTTGCTGGGAATTGAACTCAGGATCTCTGGAAGAACAGTCAGTGCTCTTAACCTCTGAGCCATCTCTCAGCCCCACAGAAGCTATATTAATTATAAAACTGTTTGGCCTATTAGCTCGGGCTTTTTATTAACTAATTTTATATCCTAAATTAATTCATTTCTGTTAATTTGTGTATCGGCACGAGGCTGTAGCTTACTGGTAAGAATCCGGTATCTGTCTCTTTTGGCTGCTACATGACATCTCTCTTTCTATATCTCTGTTCGGATTTCCTGCCTGGCTTTACTCTGCTAAGCCATTGGTTGAAACAATTTCTTTATTAACCAGTAGTACTAAAACATATTCACAGCATACAGAGGGGACTCCCGCATCACCCCACCCTGCTGCTTCATCTTCTCAGGGAAGGTTCTAAGTCACCTTGCTCTCTTCCCTTTGGTCTGACAACAGAGCTCTAAGTCACAGACCTTAGGCCCCAAGGGAATGTCAGTGGACGGTGTTTTTGTGTGCATTTGTTTTGTTTCTTCCTTCTGTGGATAAATCAAGTTATTACCTAATCTAACCCCTCATTTTGCAGGCACGGAGAGAGCATCTTGGCTATAGTCACTACTAACAGCTTGTGAGTACCAGAGCAGAAATAGAGCTCTGAGTCCCACCATATGCTAGCGGCATGGGGAGCATCCAACTCAGAGCCAGCGGAGCCTCCATGAGGCAGGCATGTCCTTTTCTACAGGGCTGAGAGGTTGAGATCTGGCTAAAGGAGTGAACTGAGCCCTAGCAGCCAGCCAGCTGCCTGTGACTATTAAGAGTACTGATTAGTCTCAAAAGTGGGTAGGGAATTCGAAACAGTGTAGCCACCTCCAGGCCAGAAGTCAACAATGGGTGCACAGTGGGGTGTAGTTCAAGTAAAGGAGACAGGAAGAGGTAGTGCATGGGGGTAGAACGCTTTGGCATGCGATTCCTGGGGAAAGGAGAAGCATGGGCTACTGAGGGCTGAGAGAACCTGGCAGAAAAACGGGAAAGTTCTTCCGTGCTTCCTTCTTTCCCTTCCCACCTAGGGGTTCACGATGTAACCAGGACTGGCCTCAGACTGTCAGACCTCCTTCCTCCACCGCCTGCTGGAAAAACAGGCGCGAGCCACCACACCTAGGTAGACACTCTCTACCTAGAAGTGCATTCTGGAAAGTTCCTACCTTTTTCAGAGAAAGGCTTCCTGGAAGGGAAGGAACACTCACTCAGTCTAAAGAGGGTGATTTGGGCAGGAAGCAATGATTTTACAAACCCGAGAGTGGGTTTGGATTTTACTCCATTGGAAACTAGGATAGAGTAGAGGCTCACACACTCAGCCTCTGCCCTGATGCCCCTTGCAGCTCTGGATGCACGAAGGGAAAGGAAGCAATTCTGGCAAGGACAGCATGTCATGTCTTTATAACCCACTGTATATACACATGTGCACACATGGAATGGGTAGAAAAGGAAGCTAGAGGGGCCCTGGGTACCCCACACTGGTGCTGTTTTAGGGAGGTGACAGAGGTACTTCTTGTGGGAGGGTCTTCTGTAGGCAGACTTTTCTATCCTCCCAGCCAGTCACCAAGTAA